CCCCCAGCCAAGGGCATTTCCAGGAGCTGCCTCAGGAATAACTCCCTCCCCAACGCCCCTGTGGGCACTGGGACCCCCAGCACACCCCAACACCCCCCTGCTGAGACTCACTCGTCCTCCCTTGGCTTGGACTTGTCCGGCCGCAGCCTGAACCAGCCCTCCTCCTGCCCAGCCGCCTCCAGCCCCTGGACACCGAACACCACCTGGGAGGGGAAGGCAGGAGGGGGTCAGGGGGGCAGCTGGGCAGGTTCCCTGGCAGCAGTGATGGGGTTCAGGGGCTCACCTTGCCCAGGAAGTCATTCCTGCCAACGAGGTCCCAGTCCCACACCTCCACGCACAGCTTCTCCCCGGCGGGCTCGGCCAGCTCGAACTCGAAGGTCTCGTTCCAACGGGGGGAGCAGGATTTCAGGCAACGGCTTCCCTCCCCAGCGACACCAGCTGCGGGGGACAGGGGACAGGGACAGCTCATGGCCGACGTCCAGGCTTCCCAGTGGGATGATTTCACCTGGACTGCTGGTGGGTTGGGGATCATGATAGACTGAGGTCGGACTCACGGTGCTCTCTTGCGCCTTCCCGTTGTAGCGCACGCGGACAAAAGGGTCGGAGGCGCCGTTCCGGTCCTTCCTGGCCAAATCCCTGCCAAGAAGAGGGGGAATATTGCCAGTATCCTCCCAAAATACCTACGGGCACCTGCGGCACCCACTCTCCTCCTCAGTTGCCCAGCATCTGAAGATGCACAACCTAAAGACCAGCAGCAGATGAGGTGGACCCCGCCCCAGGACCCCCGTCAGCTGCTGGGTGGTGATGGTCAGGACGCTCTGCACCCAAGGGTGGGTAACTGAGAAGATCCTGATGCAATGGGGAAACTGAGTCACAGGGCAGCCGGGACTCACCATACACATCCCAGCAGCACAGACAGCCCCCTGCCACCCCCCGTCCCCTCCTCACCTGGCCTCCAGCACGGTGCAGCACAGCAGCCGCCGGCTGCCCTGGCTCCCCAGGACCTCCACGCGCAGGTGGATCTCCCCCTGCACCTCCTCGTCGGGGTCCACCTCGCTGAGGCTCACCCAGCCGCTGTAGCCTGCGGGAAAAGGGTGCACCCTCACGGGGGGGGTCACTGGGGGACCCTCAGGACTAGCTCGTCGCAGGGGCAGGAGATGGGTCCCCGTTGGGACCCTCTCGGCCACCCGTCTCCCTACCCTTGGGGTGCTCCACCAGCATGTCCCGGGTGATGCACACCTTCCCGATAATGTCATCGCGGCTGGAAAACAAAAGCAGGACACGGCGTGGGATGGGAGCCCACTGTCTCCACTGGGCCCCAGGTGGGACACCCCCCCACACCCGTTTCCAGGGGGAAAAGAGGCGCCCAGGGCTGGGGTCACCACACTGTGTCTGTCCCCATGGAGCACATCAGCCACCCTTTGGGCCAGCTGGAAAATAACCTCGGGAAATAACTTCATCTGTTTGTGTCCCAAAGCCCAAGCCAGCAGGGCGAGGTGTGGATTCTCTGGTGTCTACAACAGGGTTGAGCACAAAGCCACCAACCTTCGTGTCCCCACGCCAAGCCCCCACTGCCCCGCAGCCGACCTGCCCGTACCTGAGCGCGTCCTCATCCATGACGTAGATGGAGATGCTGTGAAAGGTGGGCTGGAGGAGCACCTGGTATTCCTCCCCCCAGAACGGGGACAGCGTCTTCCACACTGTGGCAGTCCTGTGGGGCAGACGGCACCAGTGACGAAGGGGATGGGGCACTTCTCGCCCCCCCCAGCCCTGGGAGCTTCCCAGCTTTCGGTGACACGTGGCTGAGGGCAGCACCCACAGCTCCGAACCCTCAGCTGGGACAGGGGATGGGTCCTGTCCCCATCCTGTCCTGTGGCCCTGGGCTGGCAAGCATTGGAGGATGGCTTGCAGGGCACAGGGTGGCCATGAGCTGTTGGATATCAGAGCCCGTGTCTGGAGGAGTGGCTCAGTGCAAAGCAGGGAATAATAATAACAATAATTATTATTAAATATAGGCTAATGATTATAATATAATGATTATAATATAATAATTATAATATATTATTGCTATTATTATCATTATTATTTTGTGCCTGTAGCAGGGCAGATGGAGGAACCTGGCAGGAGCCAGGTGTGCCAGCAGGTCTGGGGCCCAGACAGGGACACAGAGGCACTCACCTGATGATGGCCTCATCGTCGACCTTCACAATGCAGTACGGGTCGCTGCTCCCCGTGCTAGAAGGACACAGCACGGCTCTGTCAGCACCACCAGCCGCAGCCCCGGCCCCACCAGCCCAACCCCACGTAGCTCATGG